CCTTGACTCAAAAATGGAGAGTGGAGAGAAAATAAGAAGGGAAAAACAAGTGGTCTGGCTCTCAGTTTGGGAAGCTGGCTGAGCAACAAGCCATCTGGGGACCACACTCACTTGCCAAGCTAGAAAGCCAGTTCTGTCAGAGGTGACATGCAGTCTGCAGAGGGAGACATCTGTGTCCCCCTCGATGTGTTCACAGCAGACACTGGCCAGCCCTTGTGACCAAACGTATGTCTTGGGACTCAGGACCATAAGRGGGCTGTGAAAATAGGCAAGTGAATGGAACAGTACTTATTCAGAGTGAGTCACAGAACACTGAGGAAAACCAAGCCCTTGCGAAGATACCTCTACCCTACTGCAATTGTCCCATAAGGCTGGCCCCACAGAGAGACCCAAGGAGGGCGGTGGCAAGAGAGTTAGGGCCACCAGCTATGAGCAAGTGCTAATGAAATAAAGCTTAAAAAGTGAGGACTGATTTAAAAAAAAAAAAAAAAACCTACTCCAATATTTAAGAAAATGACATAAAAATGCAGATGAATCTTTAGGATCTTGCCTGCAGCTCATTTCAAATAATACAGAGCCACAGTAGGTATAAAAACCACTGAAATGGAACAAGATCTGCATTTCTCTAAGAGCAAACTTGGCTGGCATTTAAACCTAGAATTCCAATTCAGACTGCTGGAGGAAGTACTCACATAATAAATCTGGGAGAATACATGTTTTATTGTTATAAACTAATTAAACTACTGGACAGGCTGTCTCCTTAGACTGAGAGGTGCATTTTGTCTCTAGAGAAATGTCACCAGAGGACAGGATTTACTGTGCTGTTAAAAGTGAACAAAAAAGGATTACTGTGGAAGCGATCAGTAGGAGGTAGGAAGTGAGATTTCACACTCTGGGCCCAGTACATGTCTCCCAGGCAAACTGGCTGCTGGTCCAGTCTATGACTGTTCTCTGCCCTCACTCTGACCCTCCAAAATAGCCAAGCAGCATCCACTCCCAGAAACATACCCCATTCATTAACTATTCTTTCCATATTTCAATGCTTATTAATGTGAAGCCTCTGTCCCTGACTTGAAATTTCATGACTTGTGTGAATTCTGCGTTTATTTTGCCTAAATATTTTCCTCATTCTCATCAATCTGGCTCTGAATGTCGCTTCAAGAAAGCAGGGGAAAAAAAAAAAAACACCCAATGAAATTCTAGATACTACCTTGTTTTGGTAAGCAGTGAGAGTCCCAATTTCAAAATTCTGGATTTTGTCGTGTAAATATCACAATTGCTTCAAGGACTCAAAAGTTAGACTCCTAGGAAACATACCCCTCTGGTGGTACCTCCTAAACTTCATAACCATACTGCTATTTATACCAGTGATCCAGAAGATACAGATTAAAAAAACCTTCAATTTCCCTTTAAAATGTATTTTAGCCAGGAAAGGAAGGAGTATTCAAATAAACTTCTTTGTAATTTAAGATGTGATGAAAAGGGTGATGAGTAAGAGACTGAAATCAAAAAGAGATATACATGACAGACTACACTGACATGGACAATCCTTTGCTTCCACTGTAGGACTGAGAAAATAGAACTAAGATGTTTGCTTGAATACAGAACCAACCAAGCTTAAAAACAATTAGAAATATCCAGGTGCCATAAAAAAAGAACTCCAAATTTGAAATATAAGCCTTAGGAGCTAAGGGATGGGGCTGCAAAGCATGGCCTTRGGCTCCGGCAAAGAGAGAGAACCGAGAACAGGGTACGACTGCACAAGTCAGAGAACCTGGTCAAGCTCCCTCACCCTCACACCACCAGAACGATGACTACCAGCCTGAAGCAAAGGCCAAGCACTGCTGGGGTTTGGGGCAACGTGTAGAAGTGACCTGTGAAAAGCAGAGAACACACATGCAGCACAAGTACCCAAGTAGATTTACACTAACATGAAGTGAGAAAACAACAACAAATATGGTCCACATCATAACAATTACCAGGACTCTGACACAAGAAACCCTCCAATTCCTCTATATACCATGGGTCACATAAAACCCTGGGGACATGGATTGATCATGAAACACCCAGCCCTTGCTTTAGGTGTGTCCACAATCCTAAAAACCCCACAAGGAAGGGCACCACCAAAAGGGAGTGGTGACCAGATGCAGCGAACAGTAAAATTAGCATCTCTAAAAACTCAAGAAAACAGAATTACTGAGATCGTAAAATAAATGTAATTAAAATGGCTTTTAAAAAGGATAGGAACTGGGCTGGGGATATAGTTCAGTCAGCGGAGTGCTTGCCTCGAATGCACAAATCCCTGGATTCAGTCCCCACCATCACAAAAAAAAGGAGGGGGGACTATAATGAGGAAAACATGCATTTAAAAAATAGGAACCACGGGGACTGAGGCTGTGGCTCAGCGGTAGCGCACTTGCCTGGCATGAGAGGCTCTGGGTTCGATTCACAGCACCACGTATAAATAAATAAAGGTCTATCGACAACTAAAAATAGATAGATAGATAGATAGATAGATAGATAGATAGATAGATAGATAGATAGATACATACGATGAATGAATAATAAGAAAAATAGGGAACCAAGATAACTTCAGTAGCCTGGACAAAGGATGGGTTAGAACAGGTTCGTAAACAGAATCAGTGAAATCAATACAAAGGAGTTACTAAGAATATAGCACAAAGAAATCTAGAATTAATGAAAGAGGATGGGATCAATATAAGTCTAAAAAGATGGGAGGAACTATTGAGAACAAGAGTGAAAAACTATTCAATAAGAATATCCAGGATTTTTTTAGTGAAGAATAGAGAGATAAGACCTGAATACAAGGCATAAAAATAAGATCTATCTAAACAGTGCTGAAAATGGAATACAGAAGACAAATCAAGGGAACAGAATGAACTCATGCTTGTTATAAGAGTTAAATACCTAACTATGTTTTCATCTCCACTGTCTATCTAACCACCACTGATGTAGAGAGATAAGTTTAGGATAGAGAGGCTTCATGTCCAGGCCACATGTCCTCCGGCTCTCCAGTTTTCCATGTTCTGTGGAAATGGCTTTAGGTGCAGCTCAATTTATCAATTTCAGAAAACCTCAATTAGTTCAAAGTTTGTCAGTCCACATAGACTCAACAATCCACTGCCACACACCAGGAGCACCAAACTACTTATGTTAAGAGAGTTCTGGGTTTTTACCCTAAAGTTCACTGGAGTACAACCTATGCAACTGTAATAAACTGTCAATTCCTTTTCATGCCTAATTAAATGTGTTTATTTTTAAAACCAAATTTCTCCAGCATTAAAACACCTAGAATGTATTTTGATGACAAGAACCCCACCTTGTGGCAAAATGTTTCACAACCAAGTTTGGCCATGTACCTTTCTCATTCGGAAGATAAATCTGTGTTGAGAAGTTATCATTTTATCTGCTTCACCAGACAGAATTTCTAACCCAGCATTTATCTTGTGTCTGCGACAGCACCAAAGTATGCAGTAAATCTGTGGAGCACTGTAATTTGGGGCTTTGTGAGTTATTTTCAAGTGAAAGCTGGTAGTCTTTGCAGGGCTTACTGCAGGAATATTTTAAGAGGAAAGCAAACACTGGCTCTGGGTTAGCTTCTGAAATATCATCTGTGAATTCTAGAGAGGTTCCAGACATTCTGCTTCCCACAAGATGAACTCACTTGCTAAAGCAATCAAGACAAAAAAAAAATATATCCAAACCCACAATGAATGACACCCTAATCATCACCACACAAAACCACCTCTCATAGCACACTTGTATTTCATTATCATTTGCAGTTAGTTAATCCTCTAAAACTAATTTCTTTCTTTCCTATTTTAAAGGACAATAAAAACTTGACTCTAAGGCTTTTTTAAATTTTTATTTTAATAGGAATTTTCTTCTCCCACTGTCTCTATTTTATTTTTGTAAAGAAAAATTGAAAAGCCTATTGTTAATAAAGTAAAAAAATGTAACAAAGCMCTGACTATGTCTAGCTCAGAAACATTAGCTATCATTGTTATTACTGTTTTTATAATCGACAACAGAGTACTATAAAGGGAGAAGACCTCAAAATAGCTCACTTATGTGTATCTTTCTCAATTGTCAAAGCCTTAAAGAGAAGAAAAGTTCAGTTCAAATAAACTAAACTATTTTTTAACAAAAGCAAAGCTGGAACATTCTTTTCTTCTCAAAATCTGTTTTTAAAGGGTTAATAAGGACAGTAGATTAATATTAAAACAGCTTTTCTTTTATTTGTTAATGTCACATAAGAAATTTAAGCATGTTACACTATCTTAAAAAACACGACTAATTCATTATAACAGAGAAGCCCCGCCCCCCAGCCCACCCACCGCCCCATCCCGATTCCCTTCAGAAATTAAGAATCTAAGAGAAGTGACCATAAAACAAAGTTTTGTGGAATCCTTCATCCAGAGTGCTTACATGATGATCATGTTAATATTGCCTTCTTACAAAATTTCTCTTTTCTGTTTTTTAAAAAAATTGTAACCTTGATTGCTTATTACAAAAAAATTTAGTACAAAAGTTCAATATATTGAAAAATGCTTTCCCCCTCCCTCACAGCACCGTTATTTATAGCAGAAAATAATCAAGAGCAGATTGCTAATCTAGATGGAGCAATCTTCAAATTATGCCCAGACACACAGTGGTTTATTTAACCTCCCCTCCCCTTCTCATAAGAACTTTAAAAAAAGAAAGAAAAGAAAGAAACACACACACACACACAAACGGTTTTTGTTTTTTAAAAAAAAAAAGTCCAAAAATTTTAGGGACCCTTACCAAACAGTACACAGTTAGTACAGTGTCAATAATTCACATCTTGCAACAAARTGTATGGATATGATTTCTTTTACAAAACTTTCAGTGTCAAAAAGGAAATTAAGGCCATCAGATTCGCAGCTTAAAAATTCACATAAAGGAAATATAAAAATATTCTGTGCTTCTGAGAAGGCTCTGCACTGTATATAGGTAGGGATTACCATACTTCTTTATCTTGAGGAAGACAGTTGACTTGAGAAGTTTACATAATTGCACAGCTTTTATTGGATGATCTTGGGGATCCCTGATAAGAAAAACAGAAGAAAAAAGTAGTACTAAGAAAACAAATTACAGTATTCTAAAATAAGAAAAAATCTTAAACTACAGGAATCTGTATTACCTAACTTCAAATGGACCGTTTATCACTTCTCACTTACCTTTATAACCCCTTCTCTTAAGAACAACTTTTCTAGAATACGCCAAAAGATTACAAAACAGCAATTCCCAACTCTGATTGCACAGAAGTTCAAAAAACAAAACAAAACAAAACAAAAAACTGATTTTGAGTCTCAGAACAATTAAACAAGAATTTCTCACTTAACTGAGGAAAGGTATCTATATATAACTTTAAATTAATTCTAATATTCAACTAAAAGTTGAAAAATCACTATACAATAMTCTCCTTTGAAAAATGAGCAAATGAGATCAGTGCATGATATGCTTCACAGGAACTTCGGTATCTCAAAACATTTACATTGGATTTGTTCTCAAAAGTGAAGTCAAAAAGGCTTCCCTATCCATTTCTTTGTGACCTGCTAATTCCTCACAATAAAACTTACTGACTCACCACTGACTAGACTAAAACTGGTTTCTTAAAAGGTCACCAAAACCTGGGCACAGTTGGCGCACACCTATAACCCCAGCAGCTCTGGGTGCTGATGCAGGAGGATTGGGAGTTCAAAGCCAGCCTTAGCAAAAGCAAGGTGCTAAGCAACTCAAGTGAGACCTTGTCTCTAAATAAAAATACAAAATAGTGATTGAGTGCCCCTGAGTTCAATCTCTTGTACAAAAAAAAAAAAAAAAATCCACCAAAACCCTTCTAGTCAATTCAAAAGGCTTTTGGATTCACCCTCCAATGTGCAGTCAAAAGAGCTGTTCTGCTGACATTATTTTCTATAACCATACAAACAAAAAAGGTTACACATCTTTGACTTTTTCTTTCACCTTAATGCATCACTATTTACATACTACCTGAGTGTCTGTGGCATCTCCTTCGTAGAGTCAGTACCTGATTGTTTGCCCAGTGATATTCTAAACTATAGGTCTCAATTTCTCCTTTGCTCTAAACTATGAAGAAGTTACATGCCCGAACATTCCACACAATGTCAATTTTACAGCAACCTTTCAACTTCATTTCAACTAACTTTCTCTCATACACAAAGCCCAAAATACAACTGGATAGACAGAAACATTTGGTGAATATATTTTAAAACATTCCCTGTATGAATTAAAGATCACAATAAAGCCTTTGCTGCTCCTCCCATAAGAGGAAACTATTTACCCCTGCCATGAATCTCAGCTGGTTTTATGGTTCACTTTGAGGGAATGATAGAAGGGAGCTGTACCAGCTCAGGGCCTACACCTGGTGGTCTCCACTTTCACCCTCTTAACCAGCTTCCATACCGTCAAACAACTTAGGCCAAACTACTGCATCGTGAGAAGACATACAGAAAGAGCCCCAGAGAATATTACAACCCCACACAAGCTTCCATCTGTACACAACTAGATGATTAATACTCATCTTCCACCACCTAGAGAAGAATTACCAGCTGAGCCCAGTCAAACCACAGCAGAACAATGGGAAATTAGAAACCAATGTTTTTAAATCACTAAGTTTAGGGTGGTCTGTTAATAAGTAGCAGCAGACAGTTCAAAAACACCTTCAAAACACAATCATCTGTCTCTTCCTATAACAATTATCCCTCCATCCTTCAAAATACCAAACAAGAACCATTTTCCAGTGTTGTTCTCAACTACACTGGTGGCCTAGAGAGCCTTCTTCAGTATTTGATCTGCTACTTATGTAGATCACTGGGCTGGAACTTGGAAACACCTCACAATGTTATTGTCTAGTCATTATGATGTTGTGTTTGTTTCCTTAATAAAGCCAAGTTATAAAGCATCTGTTCTTAAATACTGCTCCAAAATATATGAGAAGGCATCCAGGTTTAAAAAAAAAAAAAAATCAATCTTTGTAATGCATTCTGCTGTCATACATAACGAATTAGAATTTAAAAAAAAGAAAACAGGAAGTGAGAACATGATCCTTAAGATCCTTCAGTTATACAGACCAGTTCATGTGAATAAACCTCATTTTAAATCTAGGGAAAAAAGAATCATTCTATCWCATATAACCCACTTGAAGTGGTTCCCGACCTTAGGGACTAAACACATTAGAGAATGTTTGTTTATAGAGTAGGACTGGGCTAAAGAAACTAAGCAAACCTAGATTATAAATTTGGAGACACAGAGATGAAGTCTTACCAGGATAAGACTTAGTTTCAGGGTAGGAACTTAGACTCAAACAGCTTGAGAATATAAACTGAAAAATCATTATTAATAATTCCAATTTAATTAATTAAGACCAAATCTGGAGTTTCTTTATTTCAAGGGCTCTCAAAAAYCCTAGCATCAGCCAAAATCTATCTTGCAATTAGATAATTAGAAACTTAATATAGCAGGAATTTTGTTTCACACTGAAGCTGAATATTACTCTTTTTTCAGTTTATATGCAGATGCTTGCTCTAATTTAGTGACCTCAAATTTTCAATCACAGAACCCAACAGTACATAAGTTTCAGGTCAAGCACTCCAATCCATTTATACATATACATTTATAAGTAATTTATATGCCCTACCATATATATGTACAAAACAAGATGGAAATTTGAAAATGAGGGAAAAAAACAAAAGTGTGCTAATATATTTTCTACCAGTGACCTAGAGTACTTGAATTTTCATCAGTTCGGGAGGTATAACCCCCACTTGGTAGATCACTGCTCTGGTTTATCAATGGGGGCAACCCACAACAGACTTTCATGTAATTCTATTAATGAAAATTAAATGTAAAATTACAGTAATACCTGCTGGTGGAAAATTTCTTCCTCAACATCCACTCTGGTTGGTTCTTCCTCCTCCGGTATGGTTGTTTTAAAGACTGTACTTCTTTGTGCAACCTCCTAAAAACAAGACAGTTTAATCACAAAGATGCAGGGGAAGAGGAACCCCCCCCCGCCCTTTTTTTTTTTTTGCTTAAAAACAGCATTCCCATATCAAGGTTTATTAAAAAAAAAAAAAAAGCCACTCTACTAGGAGGTTAGCTACTGAACTAGAATTTTTTACACAATTAATAGCAGTTCTTAGACCTTAAATTTTCCCTTCAGGGGACCTACTGATATCCAATTTAAAATACCTGCTGAGAAGTTTCCAATGCTTTTTATCCCATTCTGTTACTAAGAATTCTGTGCAAATTATTTGGCACACTAAATTCTTTAAAGAACTCAACAAAAATTCAGCTTCAAGATCTTAGCTCCTAGCAAAGAGATGGTGCTAAATAAACGCTGAATAAAATGAAGCTAGGTGCCAACTGTTGTGATCTCAGGGACCATGGTAACAAAACAACCACCCGAGTAGTGAGATGAAAAGGACAAGCTCCTTTTTCATCCCTTCAGCAAGTGGCTCTTCTTGAAGGAAACTGAATCAGATGGATAAGCACTAATTACTAATAACATACTAGTGAGGTTCCAATTTATTCTGTACAGAAATAGATCTATCTTTGCTACAGGTATAAAAGAAAGCAACTATTCCCAACTATTTCTGTTCAAACAAAGATCATTTTCCTGTAAAGAATGCTGACTTGGACACATGCAGCAGTGTTTCTGTTTAAGCACAGGACAACCTGATGGTCTGGCAGCTATTAAATGAGTGTGTCCTGGAGAGTGCTGCAGAGCATTTAATTTTATTCTGTACCCTCAAGAAGATAACACCATAGCAGAAGACAGTAAATTTACTTCCACAAAAACTAATCTGAAATTCAACATAGACCATCTAGTTTGAAATCAAAGAGGAAGAAACTGAACAACTAGTGTTATGAGGTTTCAAATTGAAATGTCTAAGGATATATTTTATAAATAAAGTAAGAAAGTAGGATAGGATTTTGATTTGTTGTTGCAGGACTAAAGAAGATCGGTCACTTCCAGTCTCTCAGCCAGAAACTTTTCTGTGCAATCTATCTTAACCTAATTAATAATAATAATAAAGCACATGATTCCTTAGATCCATTATGATTCTTTGAAAGAAGGAGAGATAGAAGCATATAAAACAGAAAAAAAGAAGAAAAAAAAAACAGAAAAAAAGGTTCTCAAAAAGTTTTCTGAGTACCCAGCTTTTCTCAACTCATCTGTCRGTGAGAAAAGAAAGGGGAAGAAAACCCAGGTTCAGACCTGCACACTCAGCTCCCACRGCATGTAGATCCCACACGGCTCAAAAGGCTCATGATGCATCTCAAGACTATTAACCCCAACAAGAATCTTAGGAAACAGCAACCTGCTCAACATCATTAATTATGAATTACTTCAACATTACTATTTTTAATGTAAGCCTTCTGTTAAGTACTTTTCATTTGATAACATTTAAAAACCAATTAATCCAGTGCAGAGCATCAATATGGAATATGAGTGAACTAAACAATCTCTAAAAATCTAGATAGAAAAATAATCAAACAAATAACAATTTAGAACCAAAATGTTGTTGGGAGGTTTAGATACAGGAAATTGTTGTTAGATGGTAATGGTTACACCCCAAAAAGACGCCCTCACAAGGTGCCCAACCCTTATCAAGTAACCTGGACAGGCACATAAGCAGTCTTACATGTCAGATTTTACTCCCCTTATAAAATGTACTGCTGGCCTGCACCTGCTCAGCACAGCACACTAATATGTCCAGAGATGCACTGATGTCAGCAGGCAGCAGCTAGCTGTGCTCACCTCCTCACATCTGTGAATTCATTAGAAGCCTRAAAATCAGCCACAGTGAAAGTGTAGGTGAAGAGTTAATTGTCTTGTTATCTATTACTTTTCCATGTACATAAATAATCATTTGCATACACAAAAATCTCAGTCATACCTCTATTGTGGAAGGCACAGGGATTTGTTTTTTTTTTTTTTTAATTTCCCTTATAGAAAATCATTTGATTTTACTGTGGTGACATTCACTGTTTTTAATTACCTAGCACCCCTCCCTCTGTGTCCAGATAAGAGCCCCCAATTTTATCTGGATGCCCGTCTCCTGTCAAGGAGCACATGTGTCACAAGGAGCCAAGTATTTACTAGTCATAGAAGAGGGCTCAAGCACCAACTCCTCCTCCTGTTTAAAAGGGGCATGTAACCCAGATTGGGTCAGTAAGAGGAAAGCCCAGGATGGGAACCTCACAGGAGGTGCTCATTCCCACAGAAAGAATGAGACAGGTATGATAGTACACGCCTGTAATCCCAGAGACTTGAGAGGCTGAGGCAGGAGGACTGCCAAGTTCAAGGCAAGTTTGAGCAATAGCAAGATCCTTTCTCAAAATATAAGAAGGGCTGAGGTATAGCTCAGTTGTACAGTACCCTGGGTTTAATCCCTAGAACCTCTGAGAGCTGCTGACAGCTATTCTGCATCCTCAAGGTAGGCAATCCAAGGACAAACAACACAAATCCTTGGGGACACTATGTGAGCCACTAGATCAAGTCCACTATCTCCATTTTTTATTAGGTAAGGCCAAAAATTTCCCATTATTTTAAAGTCAGTTTAACCGGGTTTTCTGATACTACTAATGCCCCAAAACAAGGAAAAAAAATAAACAAACCAATCACCTATAATCTCATAAAAATGTGTGTTGCTAATATGGTCCTGTACCTACTAATAAATGTGGTCCTACAGAATTAAATGAATAAATACCAAATGTGTTATCTAATGATCACAGAAATAAAAACTGTATTCAGAGTACTTTCTCTCCTCATTTGTGACARAAATCACTTAATACAGAGCCTAACAAGCAGAAAGTAGTAGACATTTGTTGAAAGAATGAACAAACAAAGCAAATAATACTCAGTGTTTACATTAGGAAGGGAAGCCTAAGTTTGGTTAGCTGTATAGAAATATCATCAATAATACTGTGTAAGACATAGTCCATCATGATAACTGCTACTGCATTACAAGTATCCTCCCATATGTCTGTTTCTAACTTGGAACAAAAGGAAAAAAAATGGTAGAGATGATGATGAGATTCCATGGTTCACAAAAGCCTATTCAATCTCCAGGTATGTCTATAAACAGTGCTTTTGGATCTGAGCAAATCATTGCTCTTAACTATGTTTTGAGAGACACATAGTTCAGATGTTCAGGAGGAGCTACCAGCACTAGGGTGGCAGCACCTACCACAGCTGGGCAGAATTCCACAGTGTAAGGCAGGAAATGAGCAAGGGCTTCAAGGGAGACTAGAAGACYTAGCACCCTGAAGTCAGTGAATTACTAAAGGCATTGGTACACTATCTGGTACCCTGAGAACCTATGAGGTATTTATTTGGGGGTAAATTCCTAGACCTATACCCTAAAATCTCACAACTTTACTGTAAAGTCCTACAATGAAAAAACTCAGATGCCATTTCATTTTCAGTCTGAGATCAAGGGCACACCTCATCCAGGAGACATGAATTCCTTATGCAGAGCAGTTTACAGTGAAGGTAGGATGGGAAGATGGCCAGGAACAGAACTTCTCATGTAAACACCTCACCTTAATGAATACCATTATTTACCTTTTTTCTGTGAATGTTAGTGAYAACTGGATGCCTGATACAGGCCAGACACAGTGTCAAGATAGATCAGAACAGGGCCCCACCTTCAATGTGCTTCCTCTAGCAATCAAGGACAATCTGATAAGCACTGTGGGGAGAGGTCTGCAATCGGTGTTCTGGGGGTAGAGAAGCTCCTAAGGTCCACTGATTTGATCTTGTGAACACTCCGAACACTCCCTCCTTCTTCACAGATATTTCTCTCCACTCTCCCAATACCACACTCCTGTTCTCCTGCTTCACTAGCTGTACCTTTCTACCTTCTCTGCTGTAACTTATTCCTAGAAGTTAATATTCTCTGGGTCTTAATTGTGGATCTTTATTTCCTCTCTGACAAACTTTGTGGTTAGCCAGAATGATAACTTTAGATAGCATCTGTRTGATGAGGACCCCTAAATACCTCTAGCCTTGGCTTCCAGTTAATATTCCCACAGCTCTCTAGACAGCTTCAGTCACATATCCCACCAGCATCTCAAATTGATGTGGCCAGAAGACAGCTCTCTTTTTAATATTTGTTCAAATTAGTTATACATGACAATAGAATCCATCTTGATACACTATATAAATGAAGTATGACTTCTCGTCCTTCTGGTCGTGCATGATGCAGAATTATACTGCAGAAGTCACCTCTTGTTCCTTCCTCAATAAATGGTACTAGAAATGTGGCAATCCAAGCAAACTAACTAGGAAGTCAATTGAATTCCTGCCCTTTCATGTCCCTCATCTATATTTTTTTTCAATTTAGCAGTTTTTAATCTAAGTTGCATATAAGATTATTGTATTCCTGCATCTTTCAATTATTTATTCCTTATGTCTGCCCTTTTCCTTTCCTACTTGGTAAGGTGAGTGCTTTCCATTCCAAGATCTAGTCTTTGTCCAGCATTAGCCTGGTGATGACCACCTTGTGTGGGTGGGGTTTGCCCACATGGGCAGTTGAACCATTTCCCACCGCTACAGTCATTCTACGTGGATGGCTTATTTCTTCCTATAAACCTAGAACATTGTGCCAATCTGCTGACCTGTATAGTGTCCTCAGACCACTTGAACTTTATCCTCCTTTTGGGTGGGGTATGAGCTAAAATTCCATCTTAGCTCTTTAGAAAGAAGGGAAGATAATCTTCCAGCACAGAAGATAATCTTCCTGCAAATGTGGGAGGGTACACAGAAATGTTTTCTACAATTCTTACTTTGGTCAAAAGTCACAAAGGATTAAACATCATTTCAGCTACTGCTATACCAGTGATAGCAGCAAAAGGGAGTGTCCCTCACATTTAATATCATCAGTGGATCCTATCAACTCTACTTCCAAATACCATCCAACTGGTTTACTTCTCTTGTACCTAGAAAACCATCTCAGTCTAGGGTATTTTCCTTGGTCGTTTTCACCTCTGCCTATTTTATTCCCCTAACAACTTGCGCAGCAGCAAATTTTCCTTCTTCTCCTTATTTATCTTACCATGTCATTCTAAAAGCCCTCCAAAAGCCTCTACTTGCACTGAGAGTGAGATCTACATCTCTCATCAGAACCTACATAATCTGCCCCTGCTGGCTGAGTACCGCCTTCCTCATTACTCTCTGGCAGCAACAATGGCGACCTCAAACTCTTTCTTGTTGTCCCCACTACTTGGGAATATGTTTTCTGTTCACACAATGGCTGGCTCTTTCTCATCTTTCAGGTTTAGACTCAGATGTCACATCAAGTCTGACTTCTCTGACCATGCTACATAAAGCAGATCTATGATGACTCTTTAAGACAGTTTTTTTTAAAAAAAAATGCATTTTTAAAGAAATACTCAATCACTTTATCTTAATTGCCAGTTTCCCCTACTCTGTCTAGAATGGAAGCTCCACAATGAAAGAAAATATAACTGGCTTCTAGAACAGGGTAGCTAGCAGATGCTCAGGATCTTCCAACGAGTAACCCGGGGCATACAAATATGCCAGCCTAATATTCCCCTATAAATCCCTTCTCAGTATCACTCAGTCCGAAGAGTGTTCCTGGTCCAATTGTAAGGCAGGAACCAGCAAAGCCTGAAGGTGGAATGAAAAGTCAGAACCTGTAAGAGTGTCAGAAAAAGGCACTGGGATTGGACTTCCTGGCAAACCAGCTTAGAGCTCTCAAGGCAAACAGAGAGAGAAGAAGCAGCAGCACTTCAACGAGGAGGAAACTGAGACGCACAAACCACCTGAATCCAGGTACAAGCCCATGAACATGTTTATAGGAAGAGCAACAAAGAAGGGACTCTCGAATTTCAAACAATGACCCAATGACATTTCGTACAGGACCCACATAATGGAGCTGGGTAGAGACAGGGATGAAGCCTTTCTTTACCAGCTCCAACAGCTGCTTTATTATAAAGAAGCATTTCTAAGAGTAACATCAGTAGGGTGTGTGTGGGTGTATGTGTGTGTGTGTGTATGTGTGTTTACAAGGCAGTGTGGGGAGATAAGGTTCTTTCATAAGAATTCTAGGACTGACAAACTGAAAGCATAGTACAGGTACACCCCTCAGTCTTCAAACTGTTTCATGAGCACTCTGAGAGCCACTAAAAAAGTTAATCAAGTACTTACTAGTTGAATGTACCTTGCCAGATAGTGTTCCAAGCACTTTTGAAGGTTGCCTGGTTCATACTAACATCTCATTTATACTGTCACATTAATTATCTATATTAAAGTGAGAAAACTCGGAAGTGAGGTAACTTGCTCAATGTCACAAAGCCAATGTGCAGTAGAGACCAACAGAAATGGGACACAATTGGAGCATGTACTAATAATAATTGGTACTCTATGATATACTCATTTTATTTCTAAAATCTGTAATTTTGATTTACTTAGCAGCCCTGGTATCATTTAAGCAACAGTAACTTCACTTTGCAATCTGACTTCTGAGAAGAAATCATAYGATAAACTTTCTGGTGAAATCCAACATTATAGCAGTATAGGCCATACCTCTCCCTGAGAATTTTTCAATATAACCTTCACATCTTCACCAGTGCCCCAAGAATTCTGGTTCTTCCAGATGAGGTCAGTGGGAGGACTGGCTGTGACACCGGCATTTGCAGCCCAAATCTGGAAGACAAAAGATATCAAAATACATGAAAAACCCAGCTCTCTCACATGTCAATGACAGCAACAAACTCCTACTTCTAAAAGTCTGAGAACTCTGCCCCAGCTTCCAAGTTGCTATGTTAACTACTTGTGTATCCAGAACTTGCAGAGTTTCTAAAGGCCTCAGCCTCTCCATGATAAATGATTTTGTTGATTCACTGGTCTGTGAAGTAAAGCTGCCAAACATTCCCATCCTACTCTACACACCACAAAATCCATAAAATGGGGCATAAATGGTACCTATAATAGGTGAGACTATTATGAAGAGGAAGCGATTACCCATATACAGATCCTAGCTCACTAATAACAACAGCCTTAGCATTCTACTATTCCACAGGTTTATGAGCCATCCTTACATTGAGAGCCTTCTGACCCCCTCCTATAGTGTCCTCCAGTTGTCAACAGTAGGAATTAAGAAGACCTTCTGTAGCAGAYAGCTCATCTACAGTACTCATATAAAAACTGATATATCTCAAACAGAGAAGTATAATAATAACCCAGACAATCTGAAGATTGAATTCCAAAAAGAATGCAGAAAATTGATAAATCACCCTAGTGTTCAAGGGAAAATATAACTGTTATCGAAATAGACAAAGAAAGAAAATAATTATATTTCCCTTCTCATCAGCATAAAATCCCACCCCACCCCCCTTTTTAAGTATTTGTTGGCAGGAAAGTAGAGAAAGAGTGAAGAAAACTTGGCAGTCAGAAAACCTAGACTTGAATACTAGACAAATCACTACATCTCAATCAGCCCCAAAGTCCTCAGCCACAGGGATATGACCAGCTCTGATCTTTTATAAAGATCACATGAAAATAAGTAAAAAAATTTTAAATATATAAATTGTCATAACATAAAAAGACTTTATAATTACAAGAGGAAAGCTGGAGATGGCAAAGGCAGGTATATTTAATTATGGGGAGAAAAATCTATGAATTACTAATTAGGAAAAAGCCTTTACCTTTTAGATGCTCACTTGAAGTTTCCAGAGCATCTATTAGCATTAAAAGGAACATTTACTGGGATGAAAACACTGGATTGGATCCATCTCTCAGATTATACAGATGTGTTTTCCTAACTTCTTCCAATACTTTTCACTAATGTATACAGAATTACATAGCYGCTTTCGTGTTAATAATGACGATAGTAATCATAAGACCTCAGTGATCTGGTTGGTAATAATCTAAGACTAGTATGTCCTAGAACAATATGGTAGCCATACATGGGTTTCTGAGTATATGAAAGGTGGCTAGACAAATTGAAATGTGCCATAAGAATAAAATATACATCAAAAACTTTTTAGTTAGAAAAAAGAATGTAACATACCTTACCAGTAATTTTTATGTGTACTGATTACACATTAAAATAATAGTATTTTAGAAATACTGGGTTAAAAATAATAGTTCTAATTAATTTACTTTTAAAAACATGGCTACAAGAAAATTTGAAATTATACATAGGTTTCTCCTGCTTCTATTCTAGAATTTTAAACTGATCTTTGCTTTTGACTTGCACAATTTTATAGAAATATCACCTATTACTATTGTGTCCCCAAAAGCTTCTTATCTCATTTTTTGGGAGCTACTGAAGGGAAAAAAAAGTACATTACTTGATATGATAAATGAGTCCTCCATGAGACCCATAGGATCTACCTAGTTAGTCCATCAGATAGTATGCCCAGTGTGTGTGTATGGGGGGGGGGGGATTTGAATAATAGCTTCATATTATTTTAGAGAAGAGAATGTTCAAATCTGAATTCTTTAAAATTAAACTGTCAGATTATTTTCACCACATTATGTAGCTTTCCTAGGACTGAGCAATTTTCTCAATATAATAAAGACAAGAAAAGATCATATAGTTAGAATATTTGTTCAGATTTTTACCCATAATTACAAAATTAGCACCTGATATTTTCAAAGTGGCATCTTTTGGGCAGTTTTAACCTGTATTTTAAAGCTTTGACCTACAACACTAAGGTCTGCAAAAATCAAAATTATAAATGTTATTTAAAACAAATGTTTAAAACTTTTTTTTTAAAGAGAGAGAGAGAGAGAGAGAGAGAGAGAGAGAGAGAGAGAATGAATCTTTTAATATTTATTTTTTAATTTTCGGCGGACACAACATCTTTGTTTGTATGTGGTGCTGACAATCGAACCCGGGCCGCACGCATGCCAGGCGAGCGCTACCGCTTGAGCCACATCCCCAGCCCTGTTTAAAACTTTTTAAAAGAGAATTCCATTAAAAAAAAAAAAAAAAAGACCCTGAGCTCAGTGGTAGAGTGCTTGTCTAGCATGTGTGAGGCATTGGGTTCAATTCAACACCACATATAAATAAATAAAATAACAAAATACAAAATATTTTTTAAAGGGACACCTTTACACTATTTAGGGATGAAAATAGTGCCTCTTTGGCTGCTGTATCAAAGTTAGTATATTTTATTGTTTGTTAAATCTACTTACTAAGTCAAAGGATTCTTCTGTGTTTACCCAAAAGATGTACACTTCTCTAAAAAGTGAGCTAATAGTATTTTAGCAATAAAGATGTAGTATATTAGAACACACCAAGAGAGTCAGAATATCAACTAGCACATCACTCTAAATCTAGAAACACTAATACTATGCAAAAACAAAATGACAAAGTGATTCTGTACAAGAGTATCTAACACAGAAGTACTTTTCAAAATACGTCCATACCCGGACCCCAGGAATAGCTAAGGTTTAGGTGGAGCCTGGACACCAAAATACTACTCAGATGACACTGAAGCTTGTCCAAGGTGATTTAGGTGATTGCTGTTTTAGGCAATTACTGTTTTAACTTCCCAACCATCTGGGCCAAACAATATCTCCTAAATTACACAAGGCTGTAAGTATCCATGGAGAAACAGCTATTTTATACCTACTGGAAGAGACAAGAGAAAAGAATTCAAAGGTCAATTCTTTCATCACTTTCAGTAGACAGAATTTTAAATATCTTTAATTAACACTTGTAAAGCCCTAAGAATGTCAAAGCTRCTTAAAATATTTTTTTAGTTTAGATGGACGCAATATTTTATTTATTCATTTTTATGTGGTGCTGAGGATTGGACCCAGTACCTCATACATGTGAGGCAAGTGCTCTACCACTGAACTACAACCCAACTCCCTGTCAAAGCTGTTTTAAAGCCCACTTYTAAAACACTTCTGTTTAGGCCACAAATTTTTTGAACTACTTTTTCTATTAAGACAATGAAGTTAAACTAAATGATGACTAAATTCACTTACTGTAACAGTCTGGCCTGCCTTCAGCACATATCTTGAGGTATATTTATAACTGACCGAAGTGTCTCCAATTTTCCTGATCATCTCCCAGCCTCCCATTGGTTGATCCTATTCGCAGTACAAAACATAACAAGGTTATTTCAAATGTACAGAAAGTTACATAATAATCAAATACATGAATCGACAGGTTTTTAAACTAAGGCAGCCCTGTGGCTGTCTTCCTCTGATTCATATTTTCCTATTGCAAAAAGAAATTGAGTTTTGTCATTCAACAAAATAGTAACTTCAAAGATGCTACAGTAGTTAACTATGAAGGTTTTAAAGAGGACAAACCTGGAAGAAGAGTGTGAACCCAACCAATTAAATGGTCATATTCCCTGCTAGACCAGGTGGATCTTTTAAATTCACAGTACAATTTAGCCATAATAATAGCAATTATAAATATCTAATTTTTGATGACTTTACATTTTTAAAATAAGAACACAGCTTAGAAACAGAAGGAAGAAAATCTATTTTATTTTGTCTGTGCCGCTTCCACTCAGTCGGCTCTTTTACCTTCAAACACAAGGGGCTCAAAAATCAGGCTGTGACTCAATGAACCAGACCTAAGTGACAGCTATAACTCCAGCTCCCAGCTACACATTGCTGCCTGACAAACTAGAAAAGGAGCAGAAGCAAAATGTGTATTCATCTCAAACTCATCAGTAAGAATAAACCAGGCTGATGGTCACTTCCAAAACAGCTCCATACCTGGCTGCTATGGCCTGTGAAGAACAATAGAGTGACTTCTTTAAAGCAACAGAAGCTACTCTGCTTTTAAAGTTGTAATCAGGAAGCCTTAGTGCCTTAGTACTGGAACTGCAAGTGCTCTTCKACTTATGTACTCATTTACCTACATGCAGGAAATCTTAAATATCTCGAGTGAGAAAAAGTGATTTTTACAAAGACTTTTAAATGACCCTGAACACATGCTTCAGGAAGTGGCATCCATCCCACTGCATCCCCAGACCTTAACTGACTCTGACATAAGCTCACACCTTCACAGCCCAAGCCAGGGACTACTGATTTCCTGAAAGCCTCAGCTCTAAACTTCAGAAATYCTACTAGCTATAAACATTTATGTTCACTTTTAAACAAAACTTCAAAATAGGGATTCATACTATTTTTTTATATAAATTATTAAGTCATTAACATCCATTCATTCATTTATTTAGAGAGAAAAATACTCATTTAATATATCTGAGCCTGGGCTCYTACTTCCTTCTTTCAAAAAGTTTCATTAATATTGTGAAAGAATATCCACTATTTCCACCCCAATTCCTCCTGCGTTTTCACAAATCTGGCTAGGGTAGAGAAATAATTCATCCTTGAGAAGACCATTGTGACAAAATGACCAACTGTGAAAAAAAAAGTCCTGGTTCTGTAAAGAAGGGTTAATGAAGAAAAGCTTGAAACAACAAAAGGCACCATCTATATTCCTCAGCCTCCCATTTTAATTTTTATTTCATGAACTTAAAAAAAAAAAAAAGGAGGGAAACCGCATTCCATGAAGACTTACTGAATCCAAATATAAGATGAAGAGCTGTTACAATTGCACAAGAGCCCAGCTATCTGCAAAGCCTTGCTAGAAAAAGGAAAAAAGAAATGGGTCTATTCTTTTACCTGTTCAGAAGTATTCTTCAATCGAATAAATTTCCCATCAACATCTATCTCTTCGATGCACACGTTCCCGGTGGCTGAAGCGGAATGAGAGATGCTGACACTACTGCTGGCCTCGGATTCTTCCACATCAACTCTCTTCCGCTTTCCTCTAGTTGTGCGCACACTGCGACTTGAGGATGCGCGGGACACTGTCACACGGGAAGAAGGGCTTGGCGAGAGCTTCAATCTAAAAGGAAAAAATAATATTCCCTTCATGAGATACAAGCTCCTTGGTTTCTTTAGTAAAAACTTTAAAAGGACAATTAATATCCTGTACATTCATTTCTAAAGTAAAATATTACTGACAATCTGTTAGACAAAGCTTATATAAACATCTTAACTAAGATAACATTTATTTATGYTAGGATGCCTAGTTTTGTTTAAAAAGTAATAATTTCAATGTTTTTGCTCAGAAAAAAAAGTAATGTAATCMTAATGCAAGAATTGTGGAAAACATGGGCCTGGAAAAGTCATCCCATCTAACCCCCACCAATGTTATATAAAATGTACGTCTTTTTCTTTTCATACCTGTATTCTTTTGTAGTTATAAAAATGTCTAGAACATTGAATTGACTGGTATTTTTAACCTATATTGGCCACTTTCTTTTAAATTCTGAGAATAGGTACCAGAAGGATTTACACACAAAACTRGATCTAAAATACAAGTACAAGCTTTCTTTTAGCATACATGACATTTACAACATATTAAATTACCAAAACATTTAAAATCACAAAGGATATAGTCTATCCTGACACTGTCCAACATTTAAAGTAACAATAATAATAATAAACCAAGACTGCTTGATCAGCATGTTCTATTGCCAAAGCAAAAATATGATTTATTACTACCTTTTATATCTAGGTGTTAAAAAAGAAAGAAAAAAAGTTATGTTGCCTTAACTTTTTTTTTAAATCCTCATTTTACTTTTCCTTAAATAAAAAGAATGGGAACAGAAAACAGACTGTAAGGCAGGGTGAACTTTGAATTCCTTACCGCTCTTCTTCACCTTCTAGGAGTTTCCTGTAAGCACTGATTTCCATGTCCAGGGCTAGCTTAACATCAAGAAGTTGCTCATAATCATTCAGCTGTTGCTGCATCTGATCCCTTATTTCCGCCATCTCTCTCTCTTTGTCAGTCAGCATGCGACGAGAGTTGTCTCTTTCTTTAGCAAGCAAGTCCTCCAACTCTTGAATCCTTTCCAAACATGCTCTAGACTTCAGATTCAAAGGAACACATTTACTTTCTAGGAACATTCCAACATTAGCACAAGGCAGCTATTTTAAACATTTCCTGGACTTGGAAAACAAACGGCCCCATGTAATCTCTAATTCATTAGAATTTAAGATATTTTAATTTTTAGAAATTAAAAAYCAGTTTCTAAAATGTAAAACAAATCTCAAGAGAGTTTGGCTAACTAACAAAACAGAAACAGTCCCCAAATGAAAGTTTGTAAATATATATACAATTTCTCTGTATTTTATCAAACAAAAATATAACCTATAATTTTGGTAAAATCTCAAGTTTGACTTAGAGAAGGCCCTTTTTCAAAAGTATAAATTCTTTAAAGAACTAAAAAGAAAAATTCACTCACAAAAGAAAGCTCAAGATGGGTGAAAGTATGTTTTGGATAATTGCTGAGAAATATTTAGAAACCAAAGACATAGAAGGCACTATACATTTTCTCCTTAGAATTGCTATGGTATCTCATACTGCATTACTGGTGAGACGGCAAATTGGTGCAACCACTTTGGAAAGCAGTATAGAGATTCCTCAGAAAACTTGGAATGAAACCACCATTTGACCCAGCTATCCCACTCCTTGGTTTATACCCAAAGGACTTAAAAATCAGCMTACTACAGTGACATAACCACATCAAAGTGTACAGCAGCTGAATTCACAATAGCTCAACTGTGGAACCAACATCAATAGATGAATGGATACAGAAACTGTGATACATGTATACACACACACACACACACACACACACACCGCCCCCACAAACACACCCACACATACAATGGAATATTACTCAGCATTAAAAGAGAATAAAATTGTGGCATTTTCAGGTAAATGGATGGAAATAGAAAATATTTTGCTAAATGAAGTAAGCCAATCCCCAAAAACTAAAGGCCAAATGTTTTCTCTGTTTAATGGATGCTGATCTATGATGGGGGTGGGGGTGGGGGTGAGAAAAATGGAAGATCTTGGGATTGGGCAAAGGGGAGGGTGGGGAGGGGAGGGGTTATGAGGGTAGGAAAGATGGTGGAATGAGATGGATATCATTACCCTAGGTACACATATGATTGCATGAATGGTGCACTTCATTTTGTATGATGAATTGAAAATTCATTCTGTTGTCATGTACAACTACGTAGAATAAATAAAAAATAAATAAATATAACAAAAAAATTTCTATGATATCTCATGCTTAATTAGCACACAGAGAACATGATAGTGGGTAATCTGTAAAATATTATTGTAAATATAGAAAATTTATATTTGGTATAAAAACGAAAAAAAAAATCACATATCCTATACCAGGAAGTTCATCTTATAAACCTGTAACTCAACTGGGTAATTATTCTCCTGCACTTCTCCATTACAGAATTCATCTCAGTGGCTTCAAAAACTGACAAGGGTAATCAACTCAAAAGACTGATGAGATGCTCAGATCTCAGAATCACAAGTGGCTACATCAGCAGGAAAGAAAGGGCACCTACTGTGCAAAAATTAAATCTGGAAAGCTAGAGACAAAGGGACCCACACACTGTAATAAATACTGCACTCCTGGTGGTAAATTCATTCCTTACAAGGGTATAGATGAAAAATTTGAACAGTTTTACACAGTGGAACTCAACAAATAAGCAAATAGATGGCAGAAACCAGGTTTSTCACTCTGAGAGAAAAGTTACAAATAAGCAAAAGAAAAATTGAAAACTGAACCCTGTGGTTTTGATTTAAGACATACATCTTAGCTTAATAAAAATAAATGTTTCACTTAATAAAAATACATATATTACACAGAAAAATAATTACAGATATATGTGAATACATGGGTTAGCATACATAGATGCATTCTTTAGTTCTGTCTATGAGAGGACACAGAAACAGTGACACCCCAGTACACACTCAGCCCAGATCTTTTTTTTTTTTTTTTTTTTTTAAAGAAAGAGTGAGAGAGAGTGAGAAAGAGGGAGAGAGAGAGAGAACTTTAATATTTATTTTTCAGTATTTGGCAGACACAACATCTTTGTTGGTATGTGGTGCTGAGGATCGAACCTGGGCCGCACGCATGCCAGGCGAGCGCGCTACCGCTTGAGCCACATCCCCAGCCCTCAGCCCAGATCTTAATGTCAAATACCTTTCCCAATAAAAAGAACCACGGCTCTTTGGAGAAACAAATAACTAACTCAACAGCTGAAGCAGAGAAAATACACAGTGATCCTTAGAACATTTTATAGTGCCAAACAGTAAGAAGTATTCAAAGAGGATAGTACCCAATAGTTAACCTGACAGTATTTCCCTCTRTGGAACAATCTAAACCAATGAAATAATGTACATGTTAAATTAAAACCCAAAATATAAAACCAAGGGAGACTAGGGAGGCATTAAGTACCCTGGAACACAAAGAGGATAATAATAGAAAAACTGGTGAAATTCAAATAGTCTGGAGTCTAGTCAGTATTGACACACTACTCTCGGTTTCTTAGCTTTAACATTTCATGGTAACATAAGATGCTAACAATGGCAGAAACCAGATGAGGGATATACAAGAACTATCTGTACTATGAATCTAACTTTTCTGTAGATCTAAAATTAGGCCAAAATAACAAAACTATTTGAAAAAATAATTATCAATAAATTAATAAAATTCCTAGTAGCATCTGATATTCTATATTAGAAACAGGAATTCCTTTAAGATTGATACTATACATATAAAGTACCAATTAAAAATAAATTGATACTGAGTTCATAAAATCACCTTTTTCTTTTTGGTTTCAAATGTTTACAATTTTAATAAATTAAAAAGTTGACATTTTCCCATAAAAGGAAAAAAAATAAAAATAAATAGATAAAGCCAGGCATGKCAGCACATACCTATAATCCCAGCAACTTAGGAGGCTGAGGAAGGAGGATAGCAAATTCAAGACCAGCCTCAGCAACTTAAGGAGGTCCTAAGCAACTGAGCAAGACCCTGTCTCAAAAAATAAATGGTGCTGGGGATCTGGCTCAGTAGTACAGCACCCCTGAGTTTAATTCCTGGTACTAAACAAAAAATACATGTACGTACGTTCGTCCATACATACATAAATACATAAATGGAAAACCAGTAGCAWAGAGGAAAGGGAATGGAGGAGGGAGAAGGGCAGGGAAAGGAGGCACCAGGAACTGAAATGGAGAAATTAAACTTCATGCGTGTATGGTTATGTTGAAATGAATCCAACTACGATGTATAACTATAATGCACCAATAAAAGCATAAAAAAGATTGATACTATACATTATAAAGACTCCTTATGCCTTAGAGAACTTGCATTTAACTGCATATGCAAAAACCATGCTACATAATGAGAAATCCATTCCTCCTCCCATGGTCTTATATTCAATCACTTTACTTTACTTCACTCTTTTTGGGAGACAGAGGACAGAATGGGCCACGAGGTAAAATCCAAGGATAGCTGGCTAGAAACAAACTATTCAAGATTCAGAGGTAAGGTGAGCCCAGATTCGCAAACCCCCAAACGTCACTATACTTGACTACCTTTGACCTTAAGAGGTAAAAATCAGGAATAGGGGAACAGCTTAGTGGCATAGCACTTGCCTAGCATGTGTGAGGTACTAGGTTTGGTTCTCAGCACTGCATAAAAATAAACAAAATAAAGACATGCTGTCCATACACAATTACAAAAAAAAAAAAAAGATTTTTTAAAATTATGAAAAAAAGAGGTAAAAATCAAAATCTAGGTGTAACAAAGTTTAAAGTTACTCTGAATTTTTTTGTATTTTAAATAGAAATATTTAAGTTCTAACCTGAATACTATACTTATTGTGTAATATACATATACACTTTGTGTAAAGGAAATATAAGGAAGAGTATGAGCAATTAGACCCTGATGCTTTCCCATTCAGCCGTATAAACTACCTGTGAGACCTTGGCAAGCTCTCACTATATCACTAGACCTCACTAAATCAATTTCCACATTCATAAAATGAAGGGATCAAACTAGAATCTCTAAGATCTTCTTATCAATAAAATTTTATGACTGACTTCTAGTGATCTTAGATTTTGAAAAAATAATGTGTAACATAATTATTCTGGTTTATATTGGTCTAGCTGCAATAAAAGTCTGCAGAACATGGGTATCAGAAAAACAAATAACAGAGGTCTTTGAAATGACACAGTAGACTCTTCTGCAAGGCAAGCATACTTTGAATAACCAATTAATTTCACTGAAATCTAAAATCTAGAATACTACAAATAACGTATAAAATTCCTAATTCTAAAACATAACTGCTACCATCTACATATCTTCTAAAACCAATATTTTAAGGGCTATCTCACTTTTTAAGTAAAATTCAAGAAGTACTTTACTAACATGAGTCATATAACTAACCAAAAGGAAACTCTATGGCCCAACAGACAGCATGATGAAACGGTAATGACTCAACAACAAAAACAATTAAGATAAACAATGAGAAAATATTAAGAGATCACTTTTTCTTTTGGATGATTTTTTTCCTAAATATAAACTTTCCAAATAATGAAACATTCATCAAAATATGTTCTTTATCATAAAATCTACAACCCATAATGAAAGAGAAAAAAAAGACTCAAGAAACTTTTTATTTGAGGTGGGTGCCATGGAACATGCCATGGAACATTGCTGTAATTTCAGCAACTCTGAAGGCTGCTGCAGGAGAATCGTAAACTCGAAGCCAGGCGCAGCAACTTAGGGAGACCCTGTCTCAAAATAAAAAGGGCTRGGCTGGGGGTGTGGCTTCTCTATTTGCTATTGAGTTATCTCCTAGAAACTGCCAGGCAGTTGTCCTGACATTATTTAACAAAAAAAAAACTTGTAAGGATGAGAACACAATTAGCAGGCAAACAGGGAAAAGACCCTGAGCCTGGGTCTGAAACTGGCTACCAAGTTTCAGACATGGCTACTGCTATTTAACCACAGACAAGTCTTAGTCTCTTCAYCTATAAAATGAATATCCACCTCAAGAAGAAACTGATTATATTTTGCCAAATAGCATCAAGTGGATTAAGCAGTAGCCAAACCAACCAACAAGCAAGGAAGCAAAAAAATAAGGAAAAGTAAAACAGAGAAAAAGGCAATACCTAGAACTTAATTAATTATATGGAAAAAAAGCAGTATCAACTCAGCCTAAGAATGTTTATATCACCCTGCCTAGCACGTTAAAACCTTAAACTCCAAGGCAGTGGTATTAAGAATAAAGCCTATGGGGTGATTATATCATGAGAAGAGAGCCCTCCTGATTAGGAGGGGTGGCCCTCACAAAATGTGCCCAAAGGGGCTCATTTGAGGAYATAGAGAGAAGGCAGCACCGTTAGGAATCAGCAAACAGCCCCCAAACAGATATCTACTCTGCAGTGCCTTAAACTTCCTAGACTTCTAAACTGTAAAACAAACAAACAAACAAAAAAAACCCCACGAATTTCTGCTATTTATAAGCCAGCTATGAAGCCCATGATATTTTGTTGTAGCAATATGAAAGAATAAGTCCGATTATGGAAAACAAATTGTTAAGTTCTTTAAAGAAAATCTAAGCAAGGTATAAAGGGAAAACTGGGACTCTAAGAAAAAAACCTATATTAGCCTACAGCCTTTAGCTATGTCACTGAAGTTACCCAGGTCTGTCTGTGGTTGAACCAAAATGAACTGTAAGGTCCTTCTAGCTCCACTGTTAAATGAAAACCCTTAAATACTATCAGGGGAATACAGTTCTAAATTAATTCAAAATTTTATATTATGTAATAAAGTATCTCTGACAATATAAACTAATGTTAACTAACTTTTTACATCACYTAATTTATGTAACTCATCTTCTGTTTTCTGAATTCCCACAATAAATGTGCTCAGTTTTATAAAAATAAAATGACAAAAAAAGAAAAGTTCAATCAAGTTTATTCCTATGTAAAAAATTCAAAATAAGCTAGGCATTGTGGTGCATGCCGGTAATCCCAGCAGCTCCGGAGGCTAAGACAGGAGGATAATGAGTTCAAAGCCAGCCTTAGCAAAAAGCGAGGTGCTAAGCAACTCAGTGAGACCCTGTCTCTAAATAAAAAATACAAAACAGGGCTAGGGATGTGGCTCAGTGATCACGTGTCCCTGAGTTCAATCCCCAGTACCAAAAAAAGAAAAATCAGAACAAGATGTCCTCCCTTAAGAAAAATGGAAGTAGAAGTTACTTCCCAAGTGATTAAAGTGAGCAACTAATCACCAAATCATGCTAAATATTCACACAGCTGTCTATGTCCTCTGGATCCATATTGACTTTACCCTATCCTGAAGTGACTTGAAGCCATGTCCATACCTTCTAAAACTGTACCTGAAGCACAGCACATCACCATGGACTGGAAGGCAGCCAGTCAACAAAGCAGCAATGGAATCATCTGTTATTAGTGTGTACCAATGAATGAATGAATGAATGAAGCCACCAAATTTTTAACCAATACAGATATTAATGCTACTTCCCATGATCCTAATTAAGTATTTTAAGCACAAGTAGAGTGTYTAGAAACACAAAGCATTCACTATCCACTTTTGCATGGTTTGCTTCATTGTGGTTTCTAATCATGACCAAAAAAAGARGGAAATGTGCCAAGAATAGCACCCTGTAAAGACGAAGCTGTTGAACACAGCAGAAAACCCAAGTCCTAGGTCCTAGGTCCAGTGAAGAAACTAGCAATTTCCTTAGCTTCATGTAATATGTTAACTAGGAATAGTAGTATCTGCCTTAGCGGATGCTTATACAAAGCAAAACAAAAAAACCTAGAAAATTATGAAAACCTGAATGCAAAATAGCACCATCATGTGTGACAAACAGAGAGAAGGCAGGCAAAGCAGGTAGACCACTGTTGTAGAGGTGATCTTTCACAGAGGAAGATACTTACCTCTTTCTGTAGATTAGAAAGTTGAGATGAAAGGCTTTCAATTCTCATTCGACTTTCCATCAGTTCTTCCCTGGCACTGTTGACAGTAGAAGTATTCATCTCTGAGGACAGTCTGGCATTCTCAAGCTAAAAGACACAGCAAGTTACAGTCAGTCTAAAGAAGTAAATTAAAACTAACAAATGAGGAAGCATAATTCACCTAAAGACATTTTAAACCTAAGTCCTGCTGGTAACTGGCTGATGAAACACAGGAAAAGCATCATGAAGTTTGCTGACGTGGTTTGAATTACCTTAAGTCTGTCTGACTTTTGAATTCACTTCCTAAAATATGAGCTTTATTTAACATTAATGTATCTGGTCGCCCCCCAAAGTTTAGTACTTCAATATTTCATCCACTAAACCTTTAATGACAAGGATAACACTGTTAATAAAGAAAGTGTGTAGTAGCAAGGGTGATGATGTTTGTAAGAAAATATCACATATCCCTAAACCACCAAATCCAATACAGAATAGATTATTTCACACCAGATAGAAATACTTCCTTCAGAAGCAAAGACATTCCCTCAGGTAAATACCCCATTCCTCCAAATGCCCATAACATTCTACCATGTATGCATGTGTGTGTCTCAGGAACATGTTTCTACATCTCCTCACTGGCTCCCTTTAAGACACAGTGTGTGATTGATTGATCCTTACTTAGCTCCTTTTCTGTCTAGCGCAGTGCCCAGCATTCAGCAACTGTTGGACAATTTTATAAGTTCTCTTTCATGAGCCAAATGCTACTTCATAAAATGACGAAAACCCAATATGAACAGTTGGGAGGTCATGCAATGGAAATTACTTTCAAAGACTCTATCTCTCTAATTTTCTAAGTTTGCCCCTAATAATTATTTTTAATTAAATCTTTTTTCCTTTTTTCTTTTTTTTTTTGGTGCTGGGAGGTTGAACCAGGGCCTTGTGTATTTGAGGCACACTCTATCAACTGAGSTATATTCCCAGTAATACATGAGGTAAAATCACTTACCAGCAAAGCCTGATTTTTATTTTTTTTATTTTTGGCTAATAGAAGTACAATATTTCTATAATACCTTTTATATAAATAATAATGACAGAAGAAGAAATATCAGAGACTATTTGGCCTTGTACAAAAAAAAGCCAAAGTATAGTGGTCACAGTCTATGTATAATAATAGTATGGAAATCAGAAGCAGAAGACGTCCAACATTCATTTACTACTAAATGGATGTTAGGGCAGCATGATCAGTACTTTGTTATTGGAAGAAAATTCTTTCAGGGCTGGGGTTGTGGTTCAGAAGTAGAGGGCTTGCTCGCCTAGCATGTGTGAGACACTGGGTTCAATCCTCAGCCACCACGTAAAAATAAAATAAAGATTGAAAAAAAATTATTTCAGACACTTGCATTCAACTACTACAACATGAAATGAGTGATAAATGGGACAAAAATAAAATTAAAACAATCCTACCGTTTTCTAAAAATTTCTAGTAATAATAGGTTATAGAAAGCCACAGTTTAAAAAAAGACCCATTTTTTATTGATGGAGACTAAGTGAATCATTTAAGAAACAGAACAAAGCAAACAACAGTCACTTTAGGGTGACTGTCAAGTACTGACTTTGGATTTTAAAACAAACCCTCTGAAGAATGCTCACTTTGGCATGGTAGGTCTGCTCAAGCTCTTCCTTGTATAGCCTCACTTGGGCATCATGTTGCTCTCTCATCTCATGAAGGGCTTGAGCCAGCTTGTATTCATACTCGATCTGACGTCCAGAATCCACCTCTACCAAGCGTGTTTCGTGCTTTCTTCTTGTCTCATTAATTTCCTGAGGGTAGAAAAAAAATGACAAAAATCAAATAAATCATTTACCATGGCTGCAATGGTACAATCTGAAGGATATTAGAGCCATGTGATGTTTTACACACCAACTTTCCTCAAGTCTGTCCTGGAACAAGCATGTRGATGTACTTTGTTGCCTTGGTTTTCAGGTGAGAGATTTTTGAGATGGAATTAATAACAGAAATGGTAGTACATCAAGCTGTAGGAACTGTCTATGTCTTCACAGGAACAAAGCATTCTCTAAAAGCATGAAATGACCTCCTGAATGATTTTTAAAGTTTTTTCAAGTGCCATGTAATCATGGATGACTAGACAGTATACTATATTAAACACTGAACAGTAATTGTTTTTCTAAATTGAAAGAAAAATACTTCAGACACTTGAGCCTATTACTACAACATGAAATGAGCGATATAGGACAAAAAAGGAGAACCTTTTACCCCTAATAAAATTGAAACAATCCTTTTTTCTAAAAATTTCTAGTAATAATAGGTTATAGAAARCCATATTTTAAAAAATATACATTTTCTATATTGATGGAGACTAAGCGAATCATTTTTCGAAAACAGAATTGGGCTGGGGATGTGGCTCAAGTGGTAGCACGCTCGCCTGGCATGCATGCGGCCCAGGTTTGATCCTCAGCACCACATACAAACAAAGATGTTGTGTCTGCTGAAAACTAAAAAATATAT